TTCTTTCAAAGAACCAACTCTTTGATTCATTGATTTTTTGGATTGTTTTCTTAGTCTCTATTGCATTGATTTCTGCTCTGATTTTTATTATTTCCTCTCTTCTTTTGGCTTTGGGCTTGACTTGCTCTTCTTTTTGTAGATGGTTGAGGTGTAACATCAGGTTATTTATTTGTATTTGTTCTGTTTTCCTGATGTGGGAACTCAGTGCAATAAATTTTCCTCTGAGGAAAATTTCCATCCCACAGATTCCAGTAAGTTGTATTTGTGTGCAATAAATTTTCCTCTGAGGAAAATTTCCATCCCACAGATTCCAGTAAGTTGTATTTGTGTTTTCATTTGTTTGTAGGTATTGTTTAATTTCTTCTTTAATTTCCTCTGTGACTCACTAATTACTCAAGAGTGTGTTATTTCAGTTTCCATGTGTTTATGGGATTTTTGCAGTATCTTTTATCATTAATTTCTAATTTCATAGCGCTATGATCCAATAACATGCAAGGGATACTTTTAACTCTTTTGCACTTATTTAAATATGTTCTGTGAGTTAATATATGGTCCATTTTAGAGAATGACCCATGTACTGCTGAGAAGAATGTGCATTCGGTTGTTGTTGGGCAGAATACTCTGTATATGTCTATGAATTCCATTTGTTCACAGGTGTGATTCAGTTCTTTTATTTCTTTGCTGATTTTCTGTCTGGTTGATCTGTCCATTGGTGTCAATGGTGTATTAAAATCTCCTGTTATAATTGTGTTACTGCTAATTTGGTTTTTCATTTCTGATATTACTTGTTTTATATAACTCAGTGCTCTGGAATTTGGGATTGCAACAAATCTGTATAATAGTTTTGGGAGAATGACCATTTTCACAATATTTATTCTTCCTATCCATGAGATCCATGAGCAAGGGATGTCTTTCCATTTTCTGAGATTGTCTTCAATTTCTTTTTTCTGTGTATTATAATTTTCCCTGTATAGGTCTTTCACTTCTTTCTTGAGAGTAATTCCTAAATACTTCATTTTTTTGGTTGCTAGTGTGAAGGGTGTGGCTTCTCTTATTTCTCTGTCAGTAATTTTGTTGTTAGTGTATAGGAATGCTAATGACTTTTGAGCATTCATTTTGTATCCAGCTATATTACTGAATTTATTTTTTTATATCTAAGAGTCTTTCAATGGAATTGTGGGGTTCTTCTATGTAGTGTATCATGTCATCTGCAAACAATGATAATTTATCTTCTTTTCCTATCTTTACCCTTTTTATTTCTCTCTTTTGTCTAATTGCTCTGGCTAGTATTTCCAGCACTATATTAAATAGGAGTGGTGATAAGCGACATCTTTATCTTGTGCCTGATTTTAGAGTAAAGGCCTTCAATTTTTGGTCATTTAGTATTCTGTTCATTTAGTACGATATTGGCTGTTGGCTTGTCATAGATGGCCTTTATTATATTGAGGTCAAGATCATCTATCCCAATTTTCTGTAAAGTTCTTAGCATAAATGAATGTTGGACCTTATCAAAGTTTTTTTCTGCATCTGTAGAACTGATCATGTGATTCTTACTTTTGGCTCTATTGATACGGTGTATTACATTTATTGATTTATGTATGTTGAACCATCCCTTCATGCCTGGGATGAATCCCACTTGACCATGGTGTATCATCTTCTTGATGATTTGCTGCATCCTATTTGCCAATATTTTATTGAGGATTTTTGCATCTGTGTTCATTAGGGAGATTGGCCTGTAGTTCTCTTTTTTAGTTGGGTCTTTCTCAGGTTTTGGTACTAGAGTAATATTTGCTTCCAGGAATGACTTAGGAAGGATTGCTTCCCTTTCAATTTCATTGAATAGTTTGAGGAGTGTCGGCATTAGGTCTTCTTTGTATTTCTTGTAGAATTCTGCAGTGAATCCGTCTGGGCCTGGGCTCTTTGTAGGTAAGGACTTAATTACATTTTTAATTTCATTAATTGATACTGGTTTATTCAGCAGTTTTACATCCTCTTGACCTACCTTTGGTACTTCATATGTTTCTAAGAATCTGTCTATTTCTTCTGTGTTATCAAACCTTTGGGAATAGAGGTTTTTGAAATAAATGTTGATGATCTTCTGTATTTCTATACAGTCTGTAGTGATTTTGCCTTTTTCATTTCTTATTGCATGAATTTGAGCTTTTTTTCCCTTTTAAAATAAGGTTGGCTAGGGGCTTATCCATTTTATTCATTCTTTCATAGAACCAACTCTTTGATTCATTCATTCTTTGGATTGTTTTCTTCATTTCGATTGCATTGATTTCTGCTCTGATTTTTATAATTTCCTCTTCTTTTGGCTTTGGGCTTGACTTGCTCTTCTTTTTCTAGCCATTTGACGTGTAGCATTAGGTTATTTACTTGTATTCATTCTGTTTTCCTGATGTGGGAACTCAGTGCAAAAAATTTCCTCTGAGGAAGCTTTCATTGCATCCCACAGATTCCGGTACATTGTATTTGTATTTTCATTTGCTTGTAGATATGGTTTAATTTCTTCTTTAATTTCCCCTGTGACCCACTGATTACTCAAGAGTATGTTATTCAGTTTCCATGTTTTGTGGGATTTTTTGCAGTATCTTTTATCATTAATTTCTAATTTCATAGCGCTATGATCTGATTTCATGCAAGATTTAACTTCAACACTTTTTCATTTATTTAAATATGTTCTGTGAGCTAATATGCGGTCTATTTTAGAGAATGACCCATGTACTGCTGAGAAGAATGTGTATTCTGATGTTGTTGAATGGAACATTCTATATATGTCTATCAAGTCCATTTGTTCACAAGTGTGATTCAGTTCTGTTATTTCTTTTGCTGAATTTCCGTCTGGGTGATCTGTCCCTTGGTGTCAATGGTGTGTTAAGGTCTCCTGTTATAATTGCATTACTGCTAAGTTGGTTTTTCATTTCTGTTAATACTTGCTTTATATAACTGTGTGCTCTGGAATTTGGTGCATATATATTTATGATTGTTATCTCTTCCTCTTGAAGTTTTCCCCTAACCAGTATGTAGTGACCTTCTATATCACTTCTGATCATTATTGATTTAAAGTTCACATTCTCTGCAAACAGAATTGCTAATCTCGCTTTTTTTTGGGTTCCTGTTGCATGAAGTATTGTTTTTCATCCTTTAACTTTCAGCCTGTGAGTATCTTTTTTGGTTAGTTGGGTTTCTTATAGACAGCATATGGTTGGATTTTGTTTCTTGATCCATTCTTCCAGTCTGTTTCTTTTAATTGGTACACTGAGACCATTTACATTAATGGTTGTAACTGTTATATGTTGCTAAATCATCTAGGCTATGAGGGAGGCTCATAGCGATAATGTCAGGCCTTGTTGTGTTAGAGACACCAGATGACTGAAAGACAAGGGAGACTGTTGCATTTCTGGTTGCTCCTGTCTCCTAGAAATGGCTGATCACTGTGATATATATGGTAAGAACCAATCAAAGATAGCCAAGGACTGTACTCTGTGCTCCCTCTTTGTAATCCCATAAAAATTTCCCTCCCTGAGCCTTGCTCAACATGTTAGCACACAAAAGCCTATAACAAGTTCACCTAACCTGCCTTCTCCCCTTCATGTGAAATCCAAACATGTGTCGGTCTGGTGGCTATGCCCATCTCTCCTGATTCTCTTCTCACTTTCTCTCACAAAGTATCCACAATCAATTCCATGTACTTTTGTCCACATCTTAGCATCAGCTTTTTGGAGGATATGAATCTGAGCACACATAGAGCTCCAAGGCACAAGCAGGGGTATCAGGGAGAGAGGGAAAATACTACAACCCAGGGAACAGGTAACAGTAGCATGGAGCAGTGTGGGGACAATAGAGGTGGATACAAACCAATTTTGCCTCTCTGTCAAAGATAGAATGTCAAGAAGCAAGATACAAACCCACAGAAAGAAAGAATCCAGGCAGTTGGCAGCTCAGTGCAAAAGCCCCATGTTCAATCCTCAACATCATGATAAAGAAAGAGAAAGGTTACTAGACTGGCTGCTAGGATATGTGATAGGAGAGGAAGTGGCCATCCAAGATGCCTCCATGGTTTTAGGGCTAAGAACTGGAAAGGTGGAGTCAGGAGATGCTAAAGCCTGTGAGGAGAACATGTTCTAGGAGTGACACTAAAGGTTTAATTCAGGATCTAGAAGGCTGGAGATAATATTAGCTATGCAAAAGGAAATGTCACAGGGACTGTTGCTTTCCTGAGCTTGATTTTGCAATAGGCTGTTGGTTGAAGATACAACTTTCAGAGTTGCTGTGTAGCTGGCATTTGGTGTCACAGAACTGAAGGTGATAACTAAGAGCTAAGAGATCATCAGGGAAACTCTAGGATCCAAGTCCTAGCACACTCTAAATTTGGCAGGTGAGAAGAATCCATCAAATGACAAAGGTCAGACAAATGCAGATTTATTTATGCAGATCACGTTTTTACCAAGTGTGTGGCCCTTTTGAGAGTAAATACTGTTTGCCTCAAAGTCTGTTTTGTGTGACTATTTTAATTTTTGCAATAGGGTCTTGATAGGCAGTTCAGGCTCTTGAACCTACTATGGATTCCAGGGTGCCCTCAAACTCAGGGTGATCCTCCTGCCTTAGTCTGTGGAGTACTGGGATTACATCTGTACACCACCATGCCTGGCACTTACGTGATTTCAAAGGGGCTGTGTCGTGAGATTTTCCTTAGTAGACACCCTCACATCTTTCTGTGTGCTTTTACTGTTTTACTTGTGTTACCTTAGTTTCCCTTCCTCCCAGGTCCTGCTGTTATAGTTCCCTGGGGTGGCCTGGAACAGCAGTAGTCTGCAGCTTTAGTGCCACTCCACCCATCCCCCACCCACTGGAGGAGGCCTCACCAGGCCCCTTATGACGTCATAGTTTACTCAGCCAATGGGACAAGAGGTCTGGTGCCACGCCCACTGGGTTGAGTTTAGCGTTTCCCTGGTTACACCTTTTGTAGGTAGTTGGTGGATCTGAGAGGAGTGTGTTTGAGTTTCCCTGTGATAGAAGCGACTGTCATGAAGTGGTCCCACCCCTTTCCCCCGCCCTGTCTTCTTATTCCGGAAGAAATTCGAAGGCAGAAGTTGGCTGCGGCCAAAAAAAAGGTAAACCGAACAGGGTCTCAGTTCCTGGACTCAGAGCAAGCCCCCAGCTAACAACTTCTTGGCAGAGTGTGTGCCCCCCTGGGAGCAAATGTGGAGGGACCCTCAGCACTCCGGTGCCCCTTCAAGGCCTGTTACAGATCCTCTCCTCCCAGCCCAAATGTGTCCACCTCCAGGGGACACTCCTTTAGGCCTCACCTGGGGCTTGGCTCTTGCCTCCTACCCACCCTCATACACTTTGCCTCCCTGAGCCCTACATTGGGGGTCCTCTTTCCCTTCCGCTGTCTGAACACAGAGGAGGGTGGGGAGCAGAGGATTCTGCGGACAGAGAGGGAGGAGTAGAGTGCACTTAAGACCCTTTCCATTGGACGCCCTCATCACTAACCCTCACCTGGCCCTTAATCTTCCCACTTGGACCCCTAAAGCAGCTTTAGCCCCCTTCTGGTTTCTCTGGTGAAGACACAGATTTCTCCCTGGAAGGGGATGTGAACATGGGAGTGGGTATAGAGGTTTTGGCCACTGGGCTCATTAACTTAGACACTGACAACATAAAACTTTCATCAGGGATCTCAAAAGGTTGACAGTCTCTCTGGGTGACCAGAGTAGATCAGATTTGTGTGAGCTTTTTCCCCAGGAGTTGACTCTACAGAGAGACTCAGAATGTTTTCTAATTGTCCCCTTTACCTTTGACTCTCCTGTGTGTGGTACTGATGATTAGACCCACCGCCTTCAAAAGTACAGAAAGCTGTCTATTACTGAGCTGCACTCCAGCCTGTTACTGTCTGTTTCCCCCCATTACGTCTAGGGATGAAGTCCAGGGAGCACAGGGTTCCATGCTCAGCCCTTTTTATTTTTTATTATTTCTATTTGAGGAAGTGTTTTACTACTTTTATCCCCTCAGGTTTCCCTCATTCTTATCCTGCTATTGCAACATCACCAGTATTTGGGGTTACAGGCCTACACCACAGTGACAAGTTTCTCTTTTCTTTCATTTCTTTCTTCCTGCTGTTCAGCCATGTTAACTTGTGTGTTTACTGACTGACTGACCATCACAGTGTGTTGTAGGGCTGTTGGCAGCATGAAGCAGGTGGTGTGCATAAGAGTGTTCTATAGGAGGATGTGAACAAAGTGGCTTATTGTTTTTGTGAGTATCATTGCTCTTCTTTCCACAGTTAAGAGAATTCAAAAAACAGAAGAAGCATGATTGCTTTTTGGTGGATAAAAGAGTAAGTTTTTAAAATGCATAAAACCTAAGACAGCCAGTGGTGGAGAATGTCACCCACACGAAGCTGTGTCATGGCTGGCCAGGCAGCTAAGGATGGGGCTGCAATGGCAGTAGAGGGTCAGAGTGCAGATGAGAAAAACGTCAGGTGCTAAGAATTCTGCATTTAGGGCTGGGCCTGTTATAGCTCAGTGGGAGAGTTTCAAAGAGAGCACTGCAGCTCGGGGCCAGAGAAGGGAAAGGGGGACTAGGGTGATAGAAGGGTCTGAGGTCACTAGTCCCTCCCTCCATCTACTGTCCCCTGTGCCTTGGGCAGGTGCATGAGGTAAAGGAGGAGCGGGACAGGAGGGCTGATAAGCCTCCTGTCCAGCGGAGTGAACTGGAGAAACACGTGGGTGAGTGGGCACAAGGGTGATCTGGGGAGAGCGGGGTACCCAGGCTGTGGGTGGGGCTTACACTGCCCTAGGAGACAGGGTGGACTCAAGGGCACAGTGGTAAAGGGAAGGGCATCTGTGCCAGAAGCTGGCAATTTAGTCCTATCTCTGAGCCTCAGTGTCCCCACTTGCAGAGAGGGTATTGTGCCCCTGCCAGCCCCCACCCAGGATCCATACAGGAACATGGCTTCAGGCCTGGCCATGATGTGGGTGTGAGGAATCAGTCATGAGGAAGCCAAGGCCCAAGCAAGGAGCCTGGAGTGGGGGCTGAGCCTTGAGAGCTTGTTAGGGCCCAGAGACCTGGACCCTTTCCCTACCTCCTTTGTCACCTGTGCCCCAGCCCTGCAGCCCCAAGCAGGGCCATGCCTGGAACATCAGCAGCTCCTGTGGGAGGTGCAGAAGGTGAAGAAGGAGCTGGAGGGCGCCTTGGGGCAGCTAAAGGAAGAAAACCTGGCTCTGCGGAACAAAATGAGGGAGCAGGAGGAGCGCCTTCTGCAGGTTGACACCAGGGCAGAGCTGTGCTCTGTGCAGGCAGAAGAGCACAAGAACATCGTGCACAACATGGAGGAGCAGCAGGAGATGATTGAGGCCTTAGGGCTTCAGAACTGCCTGATAAAGGAGCAGCTGGCCCAGATGCAGGACAGCTTCCAGGGGCTGGTGGGTGTTCACTGCTCGCCAGGCTCCTCACCACCAGGACCTTCCAGGCAGAGCAGCACACTAACCCCTCTGGCTCCTTCCCCCCTGCAACACATTGGGCCACTGTCCCCCTCAATCGTGAAAGTGTCCTGTGAGTCAGAACCCTGTGGGGCTTCTCCTGCAGAGAGAGGATGATTATCTGTCCTGCCTTGCACCGTAGACACCCAGGTGGGGTCTCAGGTCGGCCCGTGCTGGTGGCACTGATTACCATTCTCTGTAGAGAGAAGAGAACACCAATATAGTGACCTCCCTGAGCTCAGAGCAGCTCAGAAACAAGGAGGTGACTTGGAAGCTGGGCCAGCTGCAGGAGGAGATCACGCAGCTCAAGGCAGTGGTAGGTGACTCCTGCCCCATGGGACTGGGCTAGGACAGAGGTGCTCCCGATGGGGGTGGGAGGTGCTGGGGCCAGAACTGATCTCCCACAGCTGGACCACAAGTGACCCCAGAGTCCTGCAGTGTCTGGCAGAGCAGTTGTGTGTCTTTTGCTTTGGTCTCTGACTGGTAGAGGTAGGTGGCTCTGGGGTCCTCCCGGGTCCTGATGTCATTTCCCTGCCAGAAACCTGAGTCATCCTACTGCTAGGAGGAAACAGGGTAGGAGGGGAAGGCTCCTTGGTGCAAACTGAAGCCTAGAGATCACTTAACACATGTGGCATGGCTCCATCTGATTCTCCATAGATGTGGTGAGGTCCACATTCAAGAACAGAGGTTGTAGGAGTGGAGACTGTGAACAGGAGGCCAGTGGTTCAGAGGAGCCCCTAATAAGCTCAGGCTGCTGACACCCCAGGGTATGACTGACCTCACTTCTCGGTCTCCTGCAGGTGGCGCTGAAGAGCCAGGAGGCCCAGGAGCTGCAGCAGCAGAGACACCAGCTGCTGGGCATCCTCTGCCACAGAGCTGAGGACTGTTTACACCTGGCCTCTGAAAAACACGCTCTGCAACATCAGCTTCTGCAGTCGTTTAAACAAGCGGTGAATGTACATCTGAAAGACCTGGAAGACCACAAGGCCCTGGTTAGGTTTTACAAAGACCTGAAGACCACCCAGGTGATGGAGGTGCTGAGGCCGGGCCCCTGTCTGGGAGGATCTGGCTGCCTCTGATGTCTCACTTTCCATCCTTACCTACAGGAGGTCCTGTCAGCCTCCAAGCTGCAGAAGCAGCAGACATCCTCGCCTGGAGTTGTGGCACTGCCCGGGGAAGGTGAATGGAGGTGTCAGTGTTGCATGGGCTGAGGAGCACTCTGAGAATGAGTGGAGGAGGACGAGATGGCAGAGGGCTGCTCATTCTCTCCCCGAGGGTGGTGGCCCAGGGGGACCTGGTGAGGTCGGTGGAGGGGAGCCTGGACTGCTCTGTCTCCCTCCTGACTGCTCCCAATATGAAATGAAGGGGAGGTGGAGGAAAGAAAACTGGAGAGTCCTCAGCCCAACAGCACCAGTCCTGAAGAAGTGAGAGGCTCAAAGGCTGCGGTGAGCTGGGCTCTGCTTTGATCCTTCCCTGGGTCTCCTTCCCTGCCTCTTCCATTGAGGTCCCTTTGGACACCCCAATACTTTGGGTTCCCCATGCCCTCATTTCCCTGGACCTTCCCGGAAAGCAGTGGTCATGCCCCATCCCTAGGAGTATCAGATGCCAGTGGCAGAAGGAGGCTCCATGCATCCTGTGATGTGGAGAGCTCCCCCACAGAATCACACCCTGCCTCCACAGATGGCATTTGTCAACAAAGGTCCCTCTTCTGTGCAGAAACAGTGGGCTCAGCCACTCAGCCACCTGAAGGTTCAGAGGCAGCTAGGCCAGAGTTTGGCCTATGTGGCACTCCTGACCCAGGTCAAAGCTGAGGATGTGGCTTCAACTCCTAGGAGCAGTGGTGACCATGTGACAATGGTGCAGCCTCAGAGGAGGCTGCCCCACCAGGCTGGGAAGGGCAGGCAGGGCAGGTGGCCACAGAGCCCTGACTCTGGTGCTCTGCTTCCTTTCTTGTACAGGTGTCAGAGGAAAAGGCAGAGATTAAGGAGCCAGTGGAGGAGCTAGAATGTCAACGCATGCTGCTCTCTGGTGATTGCAGCACCACTGATAAGCTGTGTTGGGCGCAGGCGCTCAACATACCATACCCCACCCGGGACTATGGACCACGCCAGCTTCCGCAATGCGCTACGTCCCTCTTTAAATTAGCCAACCTGTGCGCACTTCGTGCTCACTCCGTACTCTGTGGCAACTCCTGATTGGCCACAGCTGGATATAGTAGCCGGAGCCTGCATCCCATTCCCGCCCTGCTTCCTCGTGGCAGCCTGTGATTGGTCACGGCCGAATATATAAACCAGAGCCCACGTAAATAAACTAGCAGTTAACTGTCATCCACAAAAGTGTCTCCTGTCTCCTGTTTCATTGGAGCTGCACCGGTCAACTGGTGGCCCGTACGGGGAGCGCTGAGACGAGCGCTGAGACCCTCTCTCCGACAGTACGAGGAGAGCTGAGACCCTCTCTCTGATGGAACAGAGCGTCAACAGGTAAAACCGTCAAGCGCCGATAGCGGGGGCTACTCGGCGGGCGGGGGCTGACAGGTTAAACTGCTCAACGTTGGTAGCGGGGGCTACGCAACAGGCAGCGGGGGCTGCAGGGCCGGATAGCGGGGGCTATCGGGCAACCTTGGGCGGACGCATCGCAAGGGTCGAGGAACTCGTAAAGAGAGTTCCCGGTGCCGTAAAGAGGCAGGTTTTGGGGGCGCCATAAAGGGGCGCGGGGACTAAGCTGTCCCTGTTACAAAAAAAAAAAAAAAAAAAAAAGGAAAAAGGGAAAAAAATAAATAAAAATAAAAAGAAACTCTTGAAATTCTGGTTAACATGGGTAACACGGCTACTCAGCCACTGTCAGTCGCCTTAAGCGACTTACTGAGAGAAAAGGGATTACGAATGAAACAAGAACAAATTCAAAACTTCCTCGATCAGGTCGATAAGGTAGCACCTTGGTTTGGTCCCACGGGGTCCATTACCATCCCCAGCTGGGATAAATTAGGGAGAGATCTTGACTTTGCAGCAGAAAATGGCCTCCTGGAGCCAGGAGTCAGACCCCTTTGGGCAGTGGTGAGAAGCTGCCTTGCAGACACCTCTTGTCGTGACCATATAAGGGCTGGCGCCATGGCGCTTGATTACCATCAGGCAGAATCCTCCCGCAAGCAATCTCTCGAGTCCAGTGCCACAGGCGAGAAACAAAGGACTCGTCAGATAATGAGGGGGAGGAAGAAGAAATATACAAAATGGTGGATGCAGACACCACCAAAAGAGGGGAAGTCACACACACGCAGTCGAGAGGGCCTTACTCTGAGGCCATAAATGAGCTGCAACGCAGGATTTCTCAGAGTAAATGGGTCAATGAAAGCGAGTACGGGATCCCAGGGCCGCCCCGTATAAGACCTACGGCTCTACCTCCCGACCCGCCAGATTATCATGCTCACTGGAGACCCTGCCATCAGCTATGTAGCTGTCCGCAACGGGTCCAGACGTCCCCTGGGACATTCCAGGAAGACCTTTGGCATCAAGTCAAAAGAGAGGACCCAGGAGGCCTGGGCCATTTTCTCCAGGCTTTTCTGGTTGCTGTAGATGCTCAGGGAAACAGAGCCCACCTGCCTATAGATATGAAGGCGATAAAGCATCTTAAGAAGGCCAGCACCATGTACGGTGTTAACGGGGCGTATACCCTGTCCCTAGTAGAAGCCATGGCAGGAAACGCCATGACACCTGCTGATTGGGCCAGTTTGTGCAAGGCAGTGCTCAGCCCAGGCCAATATCTTGATTGGAAAGCTTGGAATGTTGAACTTGCCACAGAACAGGCCCAAGCTAATGCCCAGAACAATCAGGCCGCCTGGAACGCGCATATGTTATTAGGACAAGGGCAGTATCTCAATAACCAGCTGATATTTCCACAAGAGGTGTATGCACAGATAAATAGAATAGCCATACAAGCATGGAAACGGGTCTCGGCTAGGGGAGAAGTCTCGGGCCACTTGACAAAAATTTTGCAGGGCCCGAGCGAGCCTTTTTCAGACTTTGTGGCCCGCATGATGGAGGCGGCGGGGAGAATTTTTGGGGATGCTGAGACAGCCATGCCGCTCATTAAGCAGCTCATTTTTGAGCAATGTACTAAAGAATGTCGCTCTGCCATTAGTCCATACAAAAATAGGCCTCTTGAGGAATGGATGAAACACTGTCGGGAGATCGGGGGGCCATTAACCAACTCAGGTTTGGTGGCCATGCTAATGAAGCTAACTAAAGAAGGTCAGGGAGGCAGAGTGGCGCCACAGAATGGCGCCCGCCCAAAAGAAGGCTGCTTCAAATGCGGCAGACAGGGACACATAAAAAGAGACTGTCCATCTTGGGGACTCGGAAGAGAACAACCCCCCCCTCCTGAAGACCGAAGGTGCCCCAGATGTAAAAAGGGAAATCACTCCGCCGCGGAGTGCCGCTCCACCTTTGATGTAAATGGGCTGCCCCTCACGGGTAAGGGCCGTAACACAGAGAGGCCAAAAAACGGGATTGGGGGGCCCCCCCGGGGGGTGGGCCCCCGATTCTACCCAGCCAGAGAGTATATGGTAGACCAGACACTGCCAATGACGCCAACATGGGCAGGTCAGAACCGAGGAGAGCCTCTCCGGGTTCAGGGGACTTGACCTCTGTGCCACCACTGGACTCGTATTAACGCCAAAAATGAGGATACAGGCCATAGAGACAGATATGTCCGGCCCCTTACCAGAAGGCACAGTAGGGTTGATAATTGGTTGATCATCCCTCTCCATGAAAGGAATACAGGTCTTACCGGGTGTTATAGATTCTGATTACACAGGAAAAATAAAGGTGATGATGCAGGCTCCTAAAGGCCCAGTAGTGGTAGGGGCAGGAGACCGCATCGCTCAGATGCTAGTGTTATCCAGCCGTCATGGGGATTATCCATCATTGTCTGGTATTAGAGGAGACAGAGGATTTGGATCATCAGACCCAGCCTTTGCCGCCCTCGTTCTTAGATTGGATGAGCGCCCCATGCTAACGTTGTCACTCAATGGGCGAAAAATATCCGGACTGCTAGACACAGGAGCAGACCGCTCTATTATAGCTGAAAAGGACTGGCCACTAACCTGGCCTACCCAGACGGCACAACAAACACTGCAAGGCTTGGGATCAGTTCATGCACCTAAAATTAGTAGTCAGATAATTAAATGGGAAGACAATGAGGGACACTCAGGAGAATTCATACCCTATGTTCTCCAGCTTCCAGTTACCCTATGGGGGAGAGAAGTGCTCTCTGCCCTAGACTTGACCTTGTGCAATGAATATTCTCACACAGCCAGGAGAATTCTTAAAAATCAAGGGTATGAACCAGGCAAAGGATTAGGCAAAGACCTGCAAGGAAGGCCTTTCCCCATCCAGGCACAACCACGTGCTCAGAGGCAAGGTTTGGGTTTTTAGTGGGGGTCACTGACTCGGCTTCTGCCCCTCTCAAATTGACATGGGTCTCTAATGACCCCATTTGGATAAATCAGTGGCCCCTACCACGAGACAAAGCAGAAGCCGCATCCAAACTTATTCAAGAGCAATTAAAGTTAGGCCATATCCAACCCTCAACGTCACCCTGGAATACTCCCATTTTTGTAATAAAGAAAAGGTCAGGCCAATGGCGGCTCCTACATGATTTAAGAGCCATAAACGCTCAAATGCAGATAATGGGCCCAGTACAACGGGGCTTACCATTATTGACAGCCCTACCACAAGACTGGCCTACTATTGTCATTGATATTAAAGATTGCTTTTTCTCCATCCCACTACATCCAGAGGACACCCACAGATTCGCGTTTACCCTGCCCACAGTAAACCAAGAGGGCATAGATATGAGATATGAGTGGACAGCTCTACCCCAAGGAATGAAAAATAGTCCCACCATGTGTCAGTTATTTGTGAATAAGGCTTTAGACCCCATTAAGAAAAAACACCCGCATGTAAAATGTATTCATTATATGGACGACATCCTCCTTACCCATAGGTCACAAGCTGAATTAGATGCAGCATTCATCACCATGACACAAGCCCTAAGGTGGCACGGATTAGTCATGGCTCCAGAAAAGATTCAAAAGGGTACAATTCAATCCTTTTTGGGCACAGTTATCCGTCCGGACCATATATCCCCCCAAAAAATACATCTTAGAACTGATCAGATAAAAACACTTAATGATTTGCAAAAATTCGTGGGAGATATCAATTGGCTCAGATCCTTTCTGAACATACCCAATAGTGAACTACAAGCCTTGTATGATCTGCTGAAAGGGGATAATAATCTGTTGTCACCCAGACTTCTGACCCCTGAGGCTCGAGAATCCATTGGCTCAGTGGAGCAAGCCCTTCAGAAGGCTACCCTTCAGAGGGCTGCCCCGGGAGTCCAAATTTTGCAGTGCATTCTGCAATCTGCTTCTCAACCCACTGCTTTACTTATGCAACAGCAACCATTATTGTTGATCCACCCAAGAATGTCACCAGCCAAAAGCATCAGCTATTATCCAGAAATGGTGGCAGATCTAGCGCTACTAGGTGTTAAACTATGTATGCAACACTTCGGTCACCCACCTCACTCCATTAAGGTTCCCTATACCCGACAACAGATCGAAATACTGGTGTCCTGTGTAAACTCCTGGACTATCCTCAGGTGCACCTATGAAGGATCTATAGATAACCAATACCCCAATAACCCCATCTTGCATTTTGTGAAAGAACACCCAGTAATCTTCCCAAAGCTCACATCATCAAAACCCATTCCTCACGCACTTACCATATTCACTGATGGGTCAAAAACAGGCGTTGGTGCCTACCTTGTGCAAGGTCACCAACCGGTAGCTGTCCAATTCGCGCCTGATCAACCTCAACTAACAGAGCTAAAAATCATCATAGAAGTGTTTAAACAGTACTCACAACTTTTCAATCTGCTCTCTGACTCACATTATGTTGTCAACGCCTTACAAGTGTTGGAAGTTTCGGGCCCAATTAGGGAATCCTCTAAAGCCCATGCTCTTTTCCTAGAGTTCCGCACACTTATTCTAAACAGGACTGCACCATTCTTCGCTGCCCACATTCGCGCGCACACTTCCCTTCCCGGACCATTAGCTCTCGGGAATGCCATGGTCGACGCAGCTACTCGCCCCCTTAACATCCTTCTGTCAGCCATAGAGCAGGCCTCAGAGTTCCACACACGGTTTCATGTAAATGCTCGCACTCTGCAGAATAGGTTTCGGCTCACTCGGGAGCAGGCTAGACAGATAGTGGGAGAATGTCCCACGTGTGTCACTAGTCATGTGGCGCCCTCTTGTGGCGTT